TTTTATTTTTGCTAATTGTCGTAGATACAAGTGTACACGCATTTTTTTGTTAGCTTAGAACATGCTATGGGTTGTGGCCTGCACTGTGTATAACGCGTTTTTTTGTTATGTGGTATTGGGCCTATTGGCTAGACAAGTTTTTTTTTTTTTGGAAAATAGGTTTTTTTTTTTATAGGCAGGTTTCTTTTAGACAAAGACTTTCTTATGGACGTCTTTTGGACAGCTTTGAAGTATTGAGAGATGGCAATTGGACACTGGACAGAACGTGCAACTTGTGCTAAGGAAGAATGGTAATTTTCTGAATTTTAGTAATAGCTTGTGGTAATGTGATGCCATATAGGTATTTGATGAAATATATTATATTTTAATTCTAATTAGTATTCTGTTATTGGGTTTTTTTTTTCAATTGATTTTACTTATTTAATGTAGTTGCTATGTTATGCAGTTTAAAGAACTTTTATTAACTTGACAAAGACCATGAGCTACTTATGTCAAGCTGCAAATGCTTGCCAAGTATTAAAAAATCCTTGAGAGTACCCAATTAAGCCCATGAGTTGTTAATTTGATGGATAAACTTAGACTTAATGTGTGAATTGTCAATGAGCACCTGCTCAATTCATTTGTGCTATATGTGTTAAAAAGAATATGTTCATTCGATGGAATAGTTTAAGGTGTTGTCATATTGTTCTTTCCAGTTATGCCACCTTGAACTTGCTATGGTTATTGTGTCACGACTTAGATATAACCTATTAACCTCTGTTTAGTATTCTGGTTTTTTGTAGGCTCCTGGACCATTATGAAATGTTGATTTTCTGATGTTTTTTTCCTTGTTGACAATTGAGAGATATTTTATTTTTGCGTTTTTTGCAAATGAAGATGTTTCAACATGAATTGTGGCGATTGGCATTTTGTTGCTTGCACTATTGCATGATTATTGTAGAATATCATCTTATCTTTTATATAGTTGTATACTTTTTACTTAGTAGATGTTCTATTTTCATAGGCTCTCAACTTTGCATTTAAAGGTTACTTCTAAAGCTATTTTGGACGCTCAAAAGAGAGATGGTTGTGTGAAGTGGTTTGCTGAAAATGTGGCTTCAAGGAGTGCTGCTAGGGCAAGTACATCATTGTTACTATATCATTTGGATTGTGCACATACCAGGCTTGGCACTGATGTAATACAATGCTCAATTAATGGCCAATGACAATTCAAAGGGCTTTTGGATGTCACCATTGTTTCTGGGGTGTGTGCCTATCCCTTTGAGTCTTTGACACAGTTTGATGGCGAATGATTTTGTTTATTTTTTGGCTTATGAAGTGTAATAGTTTATTAACTTTGTTACTTTGGATATTTGGTTAAAATATCCAAATCATAAAATTAAAAGAAATGAATCACAACATATGTTGGATATTTGGGTTGAGTCACAAATCGTAAGGCCCAATCTCAAAAAAAAAAAAGAAAAAGCTAAGGGATTAAGGTTAAAATCAGTTAAAACCGAAACCGATGTTAATTGAACCGATTAATTTAGTAACCGAATTAAATAACCGAAATATTAATTGGTTCGATTTTTGATTGTTACTTTATAAAACAATCAACCGATTAAAACCGTCAATTTAGGTTCGATTCCAATCGAACTGAACTGATGTCCACCCCTAGGTGGGGGTGGGGAGGGGGTGGGGGAAGCAAGAATCAAATTCTTTTGGCCTTCCACTTCCAAGCCTTCAGTTTGTAAAATTGATCATTTATTTGCTTTGAATATTTTCTTTCAAATCAACACAAAATAACTATATAATCCTATTTACTTCCAAAATTGATACTTCCCACTAATTAAAAATTTTTAATTTTAATATCAAGATAAGAGATTAAAATTTTTTTTTGTCATATATTTATATAATTTAATATGATGAATCTTTTGTGATCAAATGTAATTTTTATATTAAAATTAAAATTAATTATCAATATTTTAAATTAATCACAAATAGAAATGATATTAATGACAAATTGAGAATCAATCATTATTTTCAAAAAAAAAAAACCTTTTTTTTCTAGTGGCACTGCAATTTCGAAATTATAAACCATTTATAAAAGGAGCGAGAATTACACAAATATATGCTTACATCAAAGGAAGGACCACAGTTGCTTAAGGAAGAAGCAAGGAAAAAAACATTTTCCCCAAACAGAACTAATCCCTTACATGATGGAACATGCATTCACGTTATCGTCACTGAAGAAGGACACAAAATTCTCTTCAGGAGCATGGGAGGCAGCTGCCGGAAAAGCTTGAACGACGTTCCGAACAAATCCGGCAGGCGCCCTTTTGTCATATGCACCGGGCGCATAAGGGTAGTAAACTAGATGCTGCGGGATATATGGCCAGAACTCTGCCCTCTTCCCTGTGCTCTTCACCCTCTTTAACACCCTGTTTGGATCCACATAACCGCTAACCGTGACCCTGCTCTGCTTTCTGTTCACTTCAACGGTTTTTGCACCTGTATATATGTTTTTAAAAAAGATAAAATAAAATAAGCTCTTAAATTTATAACATAAAGTGGGAAAAACCCAGAAAATATGATCGAAAAATTGAAACTTAAATCATTCTTACAATCTTCAATTCATGAATTTTATTTTATTTTTTTGTTGATTTGAACTAAAAAAGATACTTTTGTCTTTTTTTCTCGAAATCGAAACTATTTTCTTTTATTTTTGGATTTGTTCTTGGATCAAACTCATGGAATAAAGCTTCAAAAAACTTTATTTCCGGTTATAAGTAGTAATTTTAGGTTTTTAACTCTATAATAACATGAAACCAAAGAAGTCAAAAACATATTTAAGAAAATTATGTTTAACTTAATTTTTGCTTATAAATTAGAGATATTCTTGTAGAAGTGGGACTAAATGGACACTACGCTCAGGAAATGTGGGAGAAATGTAGAATTTCATATTTTGATGAGGAAGGGAGCAAGAGTTTCTTCTCATATAATAGAAGAGAACCTTTCATGGATTTGACAGCATTCTTCACACGCCTTTCACAGCCATCACAGTCCATTTTCACCTTGATCTCAACTGTCTGAAAAAAAAAAAAATTTAAGAAGAAGAAGAAGAAAAACCAGCTTTCAGATTCAGACCTCAAAACCTCAGATTACAAACAGAGAGAACTACAGAGGAAGTACTAGAACAAGTAAAGATCAAAACCTGCATTGGTTTGCGTTTGTTTCTGACTGTGGTGATGGTACAAAAATTGGAAAGGTAATCAAGAGCTCCCATCTTCCCCTTCTCTTCCTTTAATTATAGCAAAGACAAACAAACTACAGATACAGGGAGAAATGCAGCTTGGCATTTATATAGGAAAAGTTGCCTGTTATTATTATTATTATTCTTTTTTTTTTTTTTTGAGAACATTCATGAAAAGTTGCCTGTTAATTTAAAGAAAAGGCTGTGGCAAAAAAAAAAAAATAAAGAAAAAAAAATAAAGTCCCATTAATTAGGGAAAAGACATTTTCAATTCAAACTGGCCAAAAAAATTAGTTAGTCCGAGTTGAAAATGATATATATGCCTTTAATGGGTGGTCCATCTAGGCTTGATAATACT